CTGAATTATTATGATGCTGATTATATTAAAAATTATGATTAATATTGAATGAATGTGCGAACTATCGAACTCTGTTTTCCTCTTCAACATTGAACGATTCAAGATGAATGTTCAACTTTGCTTATTTGGCTGTTCCATTTGTTACGCATTAATAATTGTAGTTTAATGTGCAAGGGAAAATGTTGATCAAAAACCAAATGATGAATCAAAACTGTCAAACAAAGTATCAATAAGAGTCGATCTTTGATTTGAATTTTGTTCACAATTTATCGTGTTCTTTCTGTTGTTGTAAATGTTACACTTCTGTTGACTGATTTATCATTTTTACTCCAACTCTTATCCAACCCATGTGATAATATATCATGAAATGAAGTGAAAAGAATCATCAGCCATCATTCAGATAATAAATCATTCCTCACTCAATTCCCAGCTTTTCAGTGGTAATCGTTAACTTTTTGCATTTCGTTTGAACAAGTTATTTGTCAATTAGAAGGGAATGCAAAAAATATTCAGTAAACAAAATAATGGGAAAGAAGGTAGCAATAGGTTAGACTTTGGATTGGGTTCAGAGGAAGAAAAAAGTTGACATGTGAAGAATGGGTGAAAACGAATGGAACAAGACTCAGCTTTCATTCAAAATGGTTCAGAGTTGTACAGAGTCAAGATTTATTCTCAAGATATTGTCAAAGTAATCAAGTCTAATTGTGATTATCTGAATATCCATTTAGAAGTTTAAGAGCAAAATTTTCCAATAATGAAACATTGATATTCCATGCAAAACTGCGAATGAAACAAATGAATTTAGTCTGAGCTTTGGAAATTATGCCAATTTTTAACCATTCAATGAACTGTCCACTCAATTAATCATCAGTGAAATCATGCGATTGTCAATGCGAATTCAGGGATCAATGAAACTCAAAAGAAATCAAAGCTTTTTGAAATGAAGTTTAATGAGATTAGCGTTTTTGTTGAAATTATTTATTTATTACAATATTTATTATTGTGTGAATGAATTTAAAATTTTCAACTCAACACTGGAATATGGTATTAAATATTTATCAGAAGCTTCCATGAAGCTCCTATGAACTCCCAATATTTCAAGAATTCATGTTATAATAGAAATAGTGTTTAAAGAATTTTGGTGCTTATTTTGGGATTCATTTACAGAATAGATTATTTCTTGTTTTCTAGATGAAACATGTGGGATTTCAGAATAATAGGGATTCATCGATGAAACTTGCAGTTTTTTATTAAATTGATTTCGATATCGATTAACAGTCATTTGCTTAAATTATCTGATTGATGGTGATCTTTGAATGAGACTTTCATTAAAATGAGGTGAAGTGAAAGTGCGATTCAATTCTGATAATGCAAATGAAATTTTCGATGTTTATTAGGAATGAATCAATTGAGTCATCAGAGAGACTATAAATTATCTTTTAATGTAATTTAATTAATGAACTTTATCATTTTTCAAGATCGTTAACTATTCATTAGCAAGTTGTTTGTTTACTCGAATCTAATAGTAAATCAAAATTTATGATATAACTTGATGAAGAATACTTAAAGATAACTCAGATTTTCAGGCAAACATTCGAGATTAACGATTGACTGAACAACTTTAATGTCCATTTCAAAAGTGTTAATGTTTACCAGAACCAAATCAATGTTGTCTAAAGATCGAAGTCAACTCTGAAAGTAAATTGTTTCTTGTGTCTACATTCAGTCGATTTGCAAATTGATTGCATCCATTTTGTATCATTGAACTGCTTTGTATTTATGACAGATTCATGGATATGTATTCATGAGTTCTAGGAATAACTCTAAAATGCTAATTCTGTTGAGCCTCTGAATTAATCAAGTTCAATGTAAAATACGGAGTTCTCGTCGATTTTATGTCTTTCAAAGTAAAATGAAGTCAGTTGTTGAAGAAGAGCGATTTTACCATCAATTTCTTGGAAAAGAAGCAACCCGGGATTCAATATATTCTGGGAAGAGAATTATCGATGCTTGAAACGCACCTACTCAATTCATTAATTAGTAACCATTTCAAGTTCTACTGATTAAAGTAACTTCGACTTTCTGAACAGTAAAACATTCCTGTTGGCAATACTAATCAGCAAGGTACACCTTCAGTCTGGCATGAGATGAACAAAAGATCCTCTGCTTTTAGCAATCAATTTCCAGATGATTTCAAGTAGAACTCGATCCATCTTTAGATCACGGAAAAATCATCAGAATTCGTAAACAAGAGAAAAAGGTAAAATCTCTTGTGACATGATTCATGTTAAGCTAAAAGTTCCGAAATTTATGCAAAGATTTAACCAAAATTGGTTCAACTTTTGTTATTCCAACAACTTTACCAAATTGATATCATTTCAAGTATCAAAGGCCAAGGTTGAAAGATTGAATTGAGAATAACAAACAATGAGAACTTTTGGTGAATAAAATTCAAGTGTTGAAAGTTTTTTGGTGATTTCAGTTGAACCATGATATTTGAGGAGAAGAATAGGGAATGAAAAGTATTCTTATCAACTTGTAAAATACAATTACTAATATTGAATAATGAAAGTTAATGAGTAAAGTTATGATTCATAAGAAAATTATGGAAGGCAACAAAAAAAAGAGAATAATTATGTTAATATGAGCATGATTATGGCAAGAATAGTAATGGATAATGAAAAGGAAGGAAGTTATCAATATTCGCCAAGAAAAATGAATTCGAACGTTTGTCCAAAGTATATTAATAAAATGCTGTATCACCAATGATTGTTTTTACATGTTATCTTGAGATGAACAATGATCAGGATTATATGAATTCATTGAGTCGCCATGACGATAAGAATAAAGAATTGAAATAGAGATTGAAAACTGAGACTATCATGAAACCTTGATTCACTGGAAAAAAGATAATCAAGAGAACCGAAAAGTTAAGCTGGAATCAGAAGTCGAACAAAAAGTCAAGGAAATGCTTCGAAGTTAAAAGTTTTATCCATTTCTTTGAATCACGAATCTCGACTGAACTTATTTGACGGAAAATTTTTATTCAAGAAAATGTTCATTTTATCAGTTGAAAGATTCTCAACTAATGAGCATTCATTTTTTCAACATTTTTTCTTCTTCATTTCATTCCATTCATTGAATTGATGTTTCACTGGAATAAATATTAATGGGAAAAAGAGAGAAAAAAAGTTGCATCGAATTTCCATGTCTTTCGAATATCAAAATTTCAAGAAAATGAATCAAACCCTAAAGGCTAACATTTATTCTGTTTAGTTAAAGGTATGAACAAAAGGAAAATGTTTCTCATCTGAAGAGTTGAAGTTCATCAGAAGGAGAAAAAAGAAATTTTTTTTCATCTTCTCTTGAAACTTGAAGGAAATGGAATCATGATGTTGAGAAATGTTATTAATCGGTAAAAGGAAAGAAAATGAAAGAAAAAAAAGAAAAAAAAGTTACACAAAATTGCCTTTTTTATTCCAGTTGATTCAGTGAAGAATCATTTTCATCGCAATTTACTTTGAATCATTTAGATAGTAATTATAACATAAATATATAATTGAGTGTAAATGGTATACAAGCTTGACAGGGAAAATGATAAATTTGAAATTCTGTTCCAAACATGATAATCTGATGAAAAAACAATGAGAAAAGTTATCTGATTCATTCGCGAAAAGATTAACAGTTTGAGCATCAAAATGAATCCATGAACATTCAAGATTCAAATCAATGAGCAATCTTGATACCTTTTATGGTCACCATTTTGACCATTTATCTTGAGTTCATGTTTGTTCATGAATTCAGTTTTATCTTTGAACTATTCAAAGTCTTTCTTTATTTGATTTTCGTTAATTGGGTCAGTTTGGAAAGGTCAGAAATCATTTGAGTTTACATGAATAGAGAATGGAAAGAATTGATGAGAGAATAAAATCAATTTCTGATTTAACACTGAATGGTGAAAAATGAAGTGCCATAGCAACCAGCAACTACAGAACTTTTATATTAATAGTTTTGAAGAAAAGAAAAGAAATTGATTGTTCATACTTTTCATGACATTTAGTTGTATAAGCAGCTGATCTTCTGAAAGCTTTTACTCGATCATCTTCTCGATTAGCAATGAATTTCATCTGGTTCACAATTTTGGGTTCTTTTCGTTCTCTTCCATGATTACCTTTCAATGGTGGATAACATTTTACTTTCTGTATTCATTGGGAATCAAATTATCGGCTTATTCCTTTTGTCATGCATTTTCTGTTTGTATTGTAAAGCTATTATTATCTGAATATTATCAATTCAATATTACATCAGTCAAGTCAGTAAACTTGTACCCATTTCACTTGAATATTGACTGAATTGTGAAGAAAAGAGAAAACAGAATTTCTCATGATTCTTTTTTCCATTTCATTCCTTCATCTTTCATCATCTTCTTCCCTTGCCTGAACACATCTTGACTGATGAATAGACAGACGGAAATGACATCTTTTGCAGTCCACATGATGAGCCATTTGAGAAGGAAAAAGACAAAAGTAAATTGAAGTAAATTCATGATTCATTTGACCCTTGAAATGGTTCAATTAAACAGCAACAATTGACAAGGCAAAGGTTATCATGAATATTACGTGTTTCAGCAACATTAAGTCTTCATGAGACAAAATGGAGCAAAGAAGGTGGAGAAAAGAATATATCATTTTTTGAAAGGCAAAAAATGAACCAGAAGAGCAAAGGGTTAAAAGAAGAAATAAAATTGGGTTTTATAATCTTCTGGGAGTTTAGTGATTCCAATGAATATAATATGATAATAATTGTGATATAAATTAATGTGCCAAGAGAATTGTTTTTTTTACATTTATTCTTATAACTTTTGCTTTCTTTCCGATTCTCTTGGTTTCTCTCTTGTTTTTTGGGTTTAGCTCATTACTTGGTTCATCAAATAAATGAGTTGCAGAAGTGAATAGTGAAAATGAACATCGAAAATGGTTCAACAAGAAAATGAAGGTTACCTGCTTCAGTAACATAATCCCATGAGAGTTCCTTGCAAATGAAGTATCTTAACCCATCAGGAGTTTGTCCTTCTTGCAGGATAAGTGATCCAACCCTTGAACCGGTTGACATGTTGGGAAGGCCATTCATGGAGTCGATAACAAGTGATGACCATGCAGCCATGTAACCTATCACTATCATCACAATTCCAATCAGATATTTCAACAAATCTTTATCTCGAACACAAACTCGATGAGCTTTTCTCGTTTGAAATTCAGCGTAAATACGGTAAAGTTTAATTGTTATACTTCCATAGCACAGGCCAAAGCCAACCTCACGAAACCAAGGCTCAATGAAACAAGTTAATTGAGTTGGTTCATAATATCGAATGATAAGCTGAGAGAAAAGAAAAGAATAAAAATCAAGTTTAGAAAAAGAATTTCTTTTGTTTTCTTCGAATTGAACATTTTTTTCTTCTTGTATTGAAGAAGGTTGAAGATGAGCAAATTAACTGACGGTAAAAGATTGAACATTTCAGTTAATAATGAAAAGAATGTATCAGATTCGAAAGAAATTGTTTCAATTTTTCAACTTCAACTGTTGTTGTTCACCATGAAAGTTGCTACATGAAACATGATATCATCAGAATTGATAACTTTTGCAAGTAAATTATTAAAGGGAATGAAAAGAGGAAAGAAAAGGTAGAAAAAAATGAGAATGAAATCATTGATTTATCATGAAAAGTAAAAGGTTGAAAGTTTAATAAATAGCTCGAGTTGGCATCGAATGTGATAAAATTGCAATTTAATGTCAACAACATAAGCAAAGTGTCAGAACAATTTGAATTTGAAAAATTAACATTTTGCCAAATTGACTCGTAATTGAGGTGAAAATGGATTGACTTGCTGAACAGCAGAACAGTTAATGGCTGATAACTGCAATGATAATAAGCAAATCGGAAAAATTTATTGAACATTAAGCAAGTTGATGGACCCTTTAAGTACATTGTCATCATGTTATAAGGAAGATTAAATAGTTTTATAAATCACTTTTCTGTCTTCATATAATCATCGATTCTAGCAAAGATTATCATGCGAAGCGATTGTTCAAACTTTGCCCTTCGACTATGATTAGAACTTTTTTTCGATTTTCGACTGAATTGTACAAAAATAAAGTCAGGCTTTTATCTAATTAACATGCTTCTATCAATTGTCATCTCGAAGTTGATAAAAGACTGACATTGATATACAATTCTGGATGGAACTGAAGACAAGTTTCAACTAAAGAGAAGTGATATCATTAATAGTGTTCATTGATTTTATAACATGAACATCGAGTGTTCCAAAATATTGTTAACTGTGTAGGTGTGCAAATGGATGAAACAATAAAGTAAATTATCATCATTAGTTACTCACTGTTATATAAAGTAAAAAGGCCCCAAGAAGTGTTGTTTCCAAAAGGATCCATCTTGAAGAAGCAATTGTCTGGTAATGAAAGAGATGAAGAAAAGATGAGGATGAAGAAGATGCGAATAAATTAACTTTAAGAAAAACCTCAATGATTGCAATTAATTTCATCTCTTTTGTTCTCCTTCGCTGAACCATTGTTTGCAACAAGAAAACTGTTTGTACTTATTGTTGCACTTATCGATAATGGTTTCATGGAAACTTTTATAAACTATTAGAGATGATTTTTGATTAACCCTTTACAATTAGTATGAATGGTAACAACCGATGTTTCATCAATCAAAGTAACCAGAAAAGGAAAGAAGAAGAAAGAAAGAAGGAAAATAAATCAGGATTCAATTGTTGCACCAACATTTCTCTGGTTCATTTAATTGCTTCACTGAATGCAGATTTTGGGTTTACTTTTTTCTTCTTTACTCTTTTCTTTGGGTTTTCAGCCTTTTCCCTTTCAACTATTCAATCTGATTGGAAGAAGAAAAAGTTTTTGCCTGTAATTAAATGTGATTAAATGTGATTGAAAGAAAAGTGAGGAAAAGGGAAGAAAAATTAAGATTAGATTTGGGCAATTTTGTTTCTTCTCTTCTTTCCTTTCAGAATCATTTCAGTGTAATCGATTCATGATGAATGATGAACAAGACAAGGAAAGGGTAGAGATAATTGTTGGGTAAAAAAGGTGTTATGTGTCAACAACAGCTCTGAATGACTGGGAGTGAAAAGTTGCTTTACTCACTTCAACATGTAATATAAACAATCAACTTGCACACATTATTATTATTAGTTGTGCATTAGTTGCTTGTCTCAGCTTTTACATTATAATTTGACGTTACATTAAACTAACTAAAAGTTTAACCAACCCAGAAATGCGCTAATCAATGACTTTCTCTTCGAACTTTTTTTTCGCCGAGTTTTCCAATTCTTCTCTTCTCTTTGCCATCTTTTCAACCTATTTTTTAACCCTTTACTTTGGTGCTGACAAAGTGTTAATTAATGTTGAAAATTGTTGAAGCAAACATTAATTTTCATCAGTCTTACTCTCTTTGAGAGACACTGGATTGGTTAAGAAAGGAAAAGGCCAAATGCCCTGAACAGAGAAATTCAGTCTTTTCTTTCTTCTCTTTTCTTCATGTCAACCTTGGAATCATTTTTGAATGCAATTTTGAGCGTAAAATTCTGTCAACAACTTTCATCAATTCCAAGCTATTTACTTGATACGATCAACAATTGCAGTAAAAATGATAACAACGATGAATAAGTTGAACTTTGGGTTTTGTTATTGATACTGTTTTTTTGGTGATTTTGTTTCTTCTCTTTATTCTGGTTTTTGAAACAAAAATGAAGAAGATAAATGATGGAAAGAAAATGAAGAGAAAATGCGAAAAGAAAGTGACAATAGAACATATTCGACAGAGAAAAGGTGTGTCATAAGGAAGAGTATTTTTATCCCTCAAGATTCTGGTGATGACAAAGGATGATGAAGAAGAAAATGAATGGAAAGAAATGATAAGTTGAAACAGAAACTGGAACCAAACTGATCATTTTCTTCTTCTCCTTATTGTTATCTTTCTTCTTCTCTTTATTTATTATTATTATCATTCTCTGCCTCACCATTCAACTTTGTGATATTTTGTGCAAACAACACACAGAACTGGGTGAGAGGAATGAGATAACCAGAATGTTTCATTATTATTAACATTCAGTGACTTTTGGCTTGTTTATCATCTTTTCAGGAACAGCAAAATAACAACAACAAATGAGTGCAAGAAGAAGAGGAGAAGAAGAGAGAAAATTCATTTTTAATATTGTTCTGCTCAAGAAACTTTCACTGAACTGAATGATTATGATTGCCTAGAATTTAGTGTTCACTCGAGTATTACCATGAAAGAGAATCATTGATGCAAGTGAAATGTAAAGGAAAAAATGCAATGGAAAATGAAATGAGTTAATCAGTTGAATTTATTTACTCAATTTCAAGATTCACTTTAAGATGAGTTGAGATGAAACTAATTGGTCAAGAGACAACATTGTACAATACCTTTGACCTCCTCAGACGGAATATAACAATTGCTAAGACAAGAGTCATGGTAGCACAAAAGCTGTGAATTCCGAGTGTAAATGAACGAAGGGAAATATTATAACGGACAAAGCACGCCGATTCACTGGAATCATCACCGTCTAAGGTACAATTGGTGCAATCAGTTGAACATGGAGGGGTCAAGGAGTGAGGGTGAAGAGGTAAGGGTGGAAGAGAAGAGGATGGATTGAGGAGAATCCGATTCGTGTATTCAATTGTTTGCTGATCAGGTGAGAGGGTTCCACTGGTATAAAGACCAGAAGATTGGGATTCACTTAAATCCATGGCTAATTACTTATTACAGGAGGCACTGTTCAAGCAAATGAAAAGCAATTAAAGAATCATTATTTGAATGGTTTGAAGAGGTTGACGGTGATGAGAAAGATGAAGATGGTGAAGATAATGATGTTGGTGTTGCCAGTTTGAAAATCATTGAGCTTGGCTAACAAGATAATGGTTGAATCTTTGACTGGCTATGGTGAGATTGAAGGGAAAATAAGTAAACAAGAAAAGAAGTAAATCTCAACTGAATATTTCCATATAAAAATAGCACTGTGATGAGGTTGGAAAAGGAAGAAGAGGGAAAAATGATGATCATCAAGATGATGATGATGATGAGTATGACTATGATTTCTGGTTAATTTATTGAGTTGAGAAGCACACAAATTTGAATCACATCATTAATCCATGGTTTAATCCTGCTTTTTAAAATGGAGACCATTTTTGGATCATTGGTGATGTTGATGATGATTGTGATGATGGACACGGTAAAACAATGTGAACGTGAAAAAATGATGAAATGATGAAAAAAGAAAAGAAGAAAGAGAAGAAATGACAATTATCTGGTCCAGTATTTCATTTCAAAATATCACAACATTGGGTCAACTACAATTTTACAGATTTACATTGCCTAAAAGGCTTATGGACACTCTTCTTCCTCTTCTTCTTCTACTTCTATTTCTCTTCATCTTTCCTTACTTTCCATTTTGATCCTTTTTTCCCTTCTCTCGCTCTGCCTCTCTCTTCTTTATGCTTCACTATCTCTTTTCTCTTTCTTTACTTTCTACTATCTCTGTCGATTCTTTTCTTTGAGCACAAGGCGAAAATTCACTCTAATGCTATTCTCATCATTCCCTTACTCACTCAGAACTGGCATAAACTCCCAGCGATCAATGTTATGTTATGCATTGATCAAGTATCGCCATCTTTGGTTGCATTTTTGATAAAAATTTATGATCTTTTTTCAAATTCTGTATTTTTAAGTTAACGGTAAAACTCGAGATCATTGGAAAAACAGAGCTTCCCAGTCAACATGTACACATATGCCAACGATTTATAGTTTTAAGAAAGTTTTATAGACTTAAATGTACATTTACATTGAATAATTAGAATGCTGTTTCTTCGAAAATTAAATCTGTTTTGTATTTAGGACGTCGAGTAAGGCCAAAGTTTTCTTAAAAAACAATGGTTTGTCTGATTTGAATTTGAATCGTTGAAGTATACCAACCGTGAACAAAATTGCGCCACATTAGCAAAGCCTGCACCTGGAAAAGCTCTTTTACCAGCACTAAATGGCATCAAATATGCCATTACATGAAACACAATCCTAATGGCATGTTTCATGACATGTCCGTTCGTGGAATAATTAGCAATCTAAAAGCCATTCCCGGTATTGATGAAAATGAAGATGTTACTCTTACATTAAACACTGGGGACAGTAAACGACTATGGACTACGTTAGATGTTGACGCTTTTGAAAAGTCAGGGTAACAGTTAAAGAACGATTTGTAAAAAGCAAATAAATATTAAAAGAGCGAGTGAATGAATTTATAGATTATTTGAATTTAATGTAATCAAATTTGCTGAAAGCTTGAAATCATGTTGAAGAGAATGATTGATTTTATTAAAATTAGCTGATGATTTACTGTCAGATGTGTCACTGAATTTTCAGATACTGTAAATCATTTAAAATGAACAAATAAATAAGAAAAAAGCATTTTCAAATTTTTCTTGAAAACGACAACAATTTAAACCATGATTTGACTTCCATAGGCAACTGAAACTTTACGAATGTTTCAATTTTTTGCTTAATTATTTCATCTCTAATTTATTCATTCAATGATAATTATTGGTCTTTTATCAAGGTAGACTTGTCTTAGAATTTTGTAACAAATACAAATGCCAAACAAATAACAAACACAATTGAAAAAATACAATTTTTTGCCGGAGTACGTTTTCACTCGTACAAAAGATAGTTTCATGCAATTTATTAGAACCTTAGTTCATATTCAGAAAGCTAGATGGTAGTAAAGAAAAGGTTTTGTTGCAATACAGATACATGATCATTTATAATACAACTAGATGGAGCTCTTATCTTTTCCTCTGCACGTTTTTGTAAAAACCGAGGTTTTGCTGGGTCTTGCTTTTTTCGTTTAATTTTAATTTTAGAATTGATTTCTCTCGACAAAGTGATTGAAATCAAATAAAAAATTGAACTTAGTTAAATTTTGACATAGTCCATCATAAATCACGAAGATTTGTATTGTTTTGTTTGCTTTTAATTCCAATTCCAATTCTACAGTCCTCGTCTTTTACCGATTAGGTTTACTTCTTATTCGAAGAGCAAAATTAGTCACTTTTCGCTCAAAGAGGAAATAGAAGTAATCACTTTTTCATTTGTTTGGACGAAAAAAGATTATTAATCGATGGATAGTTTGAAGTCGGAATGAAAATTATCTTTAAAAGAATTCTGTTCGTAGATAACTTGATACCTAGAAATGTTCCTGTTATAATTACGATATAATTCATGCTACACCGGGCGTTTTCATTTTACGGGCATTTGCGATCGATTTGCCAAAAAGTGATGAATTGCTTAAATTAGAATTTGATTGTGTTAATTGATATTTTTGATTGTTAGATGTGTTTAAATTAAAGCTGAGAGTTCAATTTACCGATGATACAAGAATTGAAATGAAATCAGTTCTTACAATTAAACAATCATTCAAAATTAACACAAATTTTCAAAGTATCAAAACTTTCGTTACCTTTCAACCTGATAAATCGAAATATTGTTTTTACTCTATTCTATTAAATAACTTGATTGATAACTACTGTTGATTCCTGGGGTTTTCACCTGATTGAGTAAATTTGATGGAAAAGTGATGAAATTTATATTCCCATTTTCACGGAAGCAACTACAATTTAGCCAAAAATTAATTCAATTCTAGATTATTTTTACCCAAAAATAGCATTAATAAACGGCGAGAACAAGAAAAGATTGAAAAATTGACCTCCCAATGGGAACGCAAAAAGGATCAAGAATATCATTTAGGTAATATTAGGTGTTCCTTTTGTGTAGTTATTATCATTATCATTATCATTATTATTATTGTTATTATCATTTTTGTAATCATATAGGTAAGGAATGGTTTAATGTAAATAAAGAGGGAAAAGTGGAAGAAAAGGTGAGAAAAGAAGTCCGCCTTTTCTATTGAAAGGTAAAAATATTGTCTGGAGAAGTGATGAGCATGAGCATCGAAATTGTTCATTTTAGATGAATAATTTAACCGTATCAATCAGCCCAGCGTGTCAAAAATCATGGCTTTTATGGACTTCATCTTGATACAGTTAATAGAAATTGCTTTTATTAATTTTTGCAACGATTTTTGTGTAAAATTTAAAGCAAGAAACACTTTGCGCTTGAAGCAAGAAAATACTAGGATAAAAATATCAGGAAATATCCAATTAAAATGAAAATTCAAGGCTTTCTACAACTTTTCAGGAAAAATGGGTTTCGAAACAGAACCGCGTTTCGAAGGGTTTTGAAACGATTTACTTGAAATAATAGCCCAACTTGAGACACAATTTGTCAAGACTAATCCATATCCATACATAAATAAATTAACAAGTCAGTCTAAACATGAAATTTTTGCGTAAAAATCGTGGCTAACGGATAGGATTTTAAGGAAAATTTTACACAGCCTGAAAGTCATGGTTGAGCTACAAGTCCGAAAATTGGTCAGAGTTCAGGTTAATGAAAAACATTGTAACGTTGTAGCATTGTGTGTTGGAAAAAGAATTGCGATCTGTCATGATCGCTGTAGGATCTCTAATTGCAATTAATTTAATTAATCAAATTAACTCGGGTTTGCTCTGATATCAAGACAAAAAGAAGAGTGAAAAGGTTGAATAATTTTCATTAATTTTACTTGATAATAGCAAATGCATGAAGAGTAACACAGAAAATGAAAGTAATTAATTAAGCGGTAAACAATAAGTTCACACAAAAATCAATAAATTGATCAACGGCAATTTTTGATTCAAAGTTTACTTCAACCATTGTCAAGACAGTCTTGATTGATGAATTGTCATTGATTGTCATCCATGATAACATTTACTCAACAATAATCAATAAACTAAATACTCTCAACTAAAAGGTTGATTGAAAAGTGATTATCAAGTTAACAATTTGCGTCAACAAATGGTGAAAAAAGCAACTTGAACAAGTGAGAAGAAAGTCAAGCAAAGAGAAGAAGATGAAGAAGAATGTTGAATTATAATAGAAAAAAAAGCTTTTTCGTTGAAAAAGAACAGAAAAACAAGGTTAAAATGATGAAGATAATAATGATAATAGAAGATGATAAAGTCTTGTAAAGATTAAAGAAGAGGTTAGATTAACCTTCGTTACACTGGACTGAACAGGTAACGATTGTTTTTTTGCCTTCCTTCATCTTCGCCAGTTTCATCAACTTATTTGATTTGCTACAAATAAAGGTGAAGTGTCAAAGGTTAGACAGTTTGATGATATAAATAGACAGTTGCAGAAACAAGAGAAGAAGCAGAAAAACAAAAGAAAGAAGATGAAGAGAGAGAAAGAGAAAGATGAGGAAGAGAAGAAAAAAAACTGAAACCAAAAATGAAGTTAACTTGCAAGTTGATCGGAAAGTTTATGTTGAGAGATGAAACGTTAACTAATGAATGTTAAGAAATGACAATATCATGATGACTTGAAACCATCATCACTGGTTGGAAGACAAGTGAGGCAAATAATTTTCCCTAATGGATTCATCCACTGGTTTGGGCCTTTTTTTGGGCCTTTTTTGCCACTTTTTGGCAACGCATTTGGCTTTACATTTGCAACAACAAAACTCACTCTCTTTACCTTAATCATCTTCTGTTATAACATTTTTACCTCAATTTTGTTTCCACCTTTGCTTTAGTAGACTTGTCAAGCGTAAACAACATTTATCTCTACCAAAAAGTATCGCTAATTTTCATCACATTTTTCATCATTTCGTCTTCTTCTTCTTTTCTCTCCACTTTTGTCATCATCTTATAGTAAACATCACAATGTTTAGTACCAACAATTAGTTTCAAATCCATTAACCAGTTAAACCTTTCTTCTTTGATCAACTTCACCATTATCATCACTTTTCGTCATCTTATTTCAAATGTTTAGCCATTTAGTTAGTCATTATCAACTCCTCCTTAGTTGCATTTAGTTTCAATCGTCACTCTTTACCTTGAAACGCCTTCATTGATATAAATACTTTTATCATCATTTAGAGTCACATTTACGCCATTTAATAGTAACAACTATAGCGTCAACCTTAATAATGGTGATGAACAGAAGAAGAAGAAAAAAAACGAATCAAATTTCCGTTTCTTAATCTTTCGCCACTCAACTTGGTTAACAATTTGTAAGCGTAATTGCTGATAATCGTTAGCATCATTTATGATCCATTTAATTTCAAACGCTATTATTTACTTTTATCAACTTTTCTGTCCATTTTTTTGCTCGCTTCTTCTTCTGATTCAGTTTTGTGACTTGAAAACTTCTTTGAATGTTCATTGCAAATCGAGTTCGATCAAAGTCTTGAAATCAATTAGATTCAACGTAAATTAAAAACTGTTGACAAGCGTACAATTTAGTAAATTGTTATCACACTCTTTTTTACCTTCAATTAAACAACTTTCATTGTACCTGTTTAGGTGAGTTGACAATTAG